TATTGAGTTCTCCCTCTCTCTCTTCCTTCTGTTTGTGTTTCCTGTATTCCACAACAGTGTGCTTTAATGCCAGGGCCTAACTTACTACCCTCACAAGGTTCTGCTTGTTTTCACCCTATCAACAAGACTTTAAGGAGATGTCAAAATACCCCAGTCAGGGGAGTAGTACAGCAACTCCTCATACCCCTACTTCCTGTTTTCATCTGAAACAGATTTGTTTTTAAAGACTTCTGTATAGTAAAAGCATTTCACCACTTTTATAAAATGTATGGATATATATGTGTTTGTATATAATATATTATTAAGGCTATTTTATTTTTAGTTATGTTTATGTGAGGAAATATGCCTATGGGTGAGGGTGTCCGTAGAAGTCAGAGGTTTCAGATCCCCTGGATCTGGAGTTATAGGAGGTTGTGAGTTGCCCTACTACATGGGTGCTGAGAACCAAACAGTTTCTCTGGAAGAGCAGTAAGCACTCTTAACCACTGAGTGCTGTGAGTACATACATTCATTTTTTTATTTGTTTTTGAGACAGGGTTTCTCTGTGTAGCCCTGGCTGTTCTGGAACTCTGTCTGTACACCAGGCTGGCCTCAAACTCATAGAGATCCACCTGCCTCTACCTCCCAAGTGCTGGGATTAAAGGTGTACGCCACCACCGCCAAATATATATATATATATATATATTTGGCTCCCTGGCATCTCTCCAAACCAGCCATGCTATTGTCAGTGGTGGTACAAAGACAGCACAGAGCTTTGCTGTACCTTAACCTATTAGACAAGTCTCTCAGGTCTAGGCACTCAAGTCTGTGCTGAGGGAGATACTGAGGACAGTTTTACCAGCCCTGGACTTTGTCCCCTCTGGGTTGGGCTGAGGTTCATAGAAGGATCACATTCCAGAGAAACAGGAAAGATAGAGGAAATGATCTGCCTCCTAGTGCCACCCAGTCAAGCCTTCCTGCCTCCATTGCTGTTCTGTTAGAAGTCTCAGGAGACACACCCAGACTGCACTAGTTGGGTAAGGGAGTATACATCTGAAATACCAGAAGCAAGACTGTTGTGGTCATACACACTTGTAATCCTAGCACTTGCAAGGCTGAGACAGGAGGATTGAGAGTTTGAGGCTAGTCTGGAGTACCTGGCAAGTTCAAGGCCAGTCTGAACAGCATAGGGTGACCTTGCTCAGAAAATAAAGTAGGGGGCAGGCAAGATGTCTCAGTGGGTAAAGTCACTTGCTGTGCAAGCCAGGTGCCTGACTTGGAATTCCTGGGACCCACATAAAAGTGAAAGACCCAAGCCTACAAAAACTGTCCTTTAACCTCCACATGGCAGCGCTATGGAAGGTCCTCACCTCCCTACAATAATAAATTTTAAAGTAAAATAATTTTTTTTGGCTGTCCTCAAATTCACTACATACCCAAAAAATGGCCTTGAACTTCTGGTCTACCTCTACCTTCCAAGGGACAGAATTACTGGTGTCTGCCACTATGCCCAATTTATGAGATACTGGGGTTCAAACAAAGGGCTTCATGTGTTCTAGACACTCTACCAACTGAGCTATATCCCAGACCCTAATCAAAAATTGATAACACCAGTTTTTAAATCTATTTTTAAAATATTTCTTTTTAAAAATTATTTAAACTTATTTTTTTTTTTAAATTGCATGTGTGTATGAGCACCTGGTGTGTGCCTGGTAATGGAGGAGACCAGAAGAAGACATCAGATCACCTGGAATTAAGGTTACAGACAGTTGTAAGCCACCATGTGGGTGCTGGAATTTGAACCAGGTCCTCTGCCAGAACAGCCAGTATCCTTAATGGCTAAGCTATTTCTCCAGGCCCTTAACACCAGTTTTTTTTTTTTTTTTGGGGGGGGTTCCTTTTATTTTACAATACCATTCAGTTCTACATATCAGCCACGGGTTCCCCTGTTCTCCTCCCCACCTCCTCCCCTTCCCCCCAGCTTACCCCCCAATCCCACCTCCTCTAGGGCAAAGCCTCCCCCGAGGACTGCGATCAACCTGGTAGACTCAGTCCAGGCAGGTCCAGTCCCCTCCTCCCAGACTGAGCCAAGCGTCCCTGCATAAGCTCCAGGTTTCAAACAGCCAACTCATGCAATGAGCACAGGACTCGGTCCCACTGCCTAGTTGCCTCCCAAACTGTCAAGCCAAACAACTGTCACACCTATTCAGAGGGCCTGATCTAGCTGGGGGCCCTTCAGTAACACCCGTTTTTAACCCTAGCTTGTTAAGGCAGCTATAAAGGGTCACAAGTTCAGTGGTTAAAAAATAAAAGAATAAAAACTGCAGGCCAGAGGTCTGCCATTAAAGTAGGCAAGCTGCTCCCCCCTGTGGCTCTAGACCCTCCCTCCAGCTCTTGGTAGCTAGTACCTCTTTAAAACCCTTTGGCTTGTGAATACATCATCCCTCCAGCCTCCACCTCTGCCCTCATCTGGATGACTCCCCTGCAGGCCTCTGTCTAATTCACAGCTTGGAGCTCCCCCTGGTCTCACTCCTGTCTGTCTTCCTGTAAAATGGAGAAAAGACACCCAGGCCTCACTGGGAGGGCAGGAGGTGGCAAACCTAGGTGGTACTTTGCAGTAGCTTGGTGGATTTGACTGCCAGGGTTCTCACCGTCACAAGCATCTCTCACCTCACACTGTGCTTGCCAGCGTGTGTGTGTGTGTGTGTGTGTGTGTGTGTGTGTGTGTGTGTGTGTGTGTTGGGGGGGGCAGACACTCCAACATGAACTGGTAACTTCCTGTGGGCTAACTCTAATACACCACAGTTCTTCATATCATGATTTTGCAGGTGAAAAAAACTGACCACAGAGAGGCTAAGTCACTTGGGGAAGACACACAGCAAACGGCAGAGCTAGGCTGACCCCCTTCTCTTGCTTCCTGCCAAGCCTATCAGAGTAAAGGTTTTGGCATCAAGAACAGGAAGGGAAGCGATGCCAGAAGACAGAGCACCTTCATGGCTCATTTCATCCTTGTGGTACACTTTGAAGTCAGTATATCATTGTCCCCACGTGCAGAGGAGGTCAGGCGGTGGGGACAGCATGAGGTCCTGATCACACTGCCCTGTTCCCCAAGAAGGGCTGCAGATGGAGGCTAGGTCCCGATGGCAGCTGTGTGGGAGGGGAGCCCACAGTGGCAATCAGCATCTCAGATGCTGTGGATGAGCCAGGCAAATGCCTCTGCCCTGCTTAACGTCTCATTGCAGCGGCTCCTCACAGCTTTACCAGTGTCATACCGCTTACCCTTACAGCCAGAGAAACTGAAGCTCAGAGAGTTGCCCGGCACAGACAGGAAGCAGATCAGTCTGCTGATTACAGTGCCCGTGTTCTCCCCCACTGTCCCCCATGTTTGAGTCCCAGGGGCTCTGGGAAAGTGCGTGCGTTCGTGCGTGCGTGCGTGCGTGCGTGCGTGCGTGTGTGCCTGTGATCTAGCCCATTTGGAGAAGTTTGGGGGGTCTGTATTTTCTGTGTATGTGTTTATGTGATCATCCCCACATGTGTGTGCAAAATGGAGACCAGAGTACAAGCTCATCTGCTCTTCCCCATGCCATCCACTTTGTTGTTTATTTTTTTATTTTATTATTATTATTATTATTATTATTATTATTATTATTATTATTATTTTATTATTTGGTTTTTCGAGACAAGGTTTCTCTGTGTAGCTTTGCACCTTTCCTGGAACTCACTTGGTAGTCCAGGCTGGCCTCGAACTCACAGAGATCCGCCTGGCTCTGCCTCCCGAGTGCTGGGATTAAAGGCGTGCGCCACCACTGCCCAGTTTCACTTTGTTGTTTATAAACAGCATCTCTCACTGGCCTGGAACTCACCCATTAGACTAGCCAGCCTCAGGCAGGGATCTACCCATCTCCCCAGTGTTACGATTATAAGCACATCATGTCATTACGTCTGGCTCTTTTTGCATGGGTTCTGGAGATTGAACTAAGACCCTCTTGTTTGCAGGGTAAGTACTTTACTGACTGAGCCATTTCCCCAGCCCTGGGTCTAGATGTTATTAAACCTGCATGTCCACCTCCCCCGTGGTCCTTTTCAACCCTTTGATCCTCCTTGATATTCCAATATACTCTTCTCCAGTGATGACTTCCCCTGGGACACCTGTGCAGACCATCAGGACAGTCACCAATGTGATCAAACACCATGTAGCTTGTGGTGCTCTGGCAGAAGATCAGCCCTGCTGATACACAACACAGGACCTAATGAGAGCAGCAGCTCCTAGATCAGTGGTTCTCAACCTTAGGGTCAAGACCTCTTCCCAGGGGTCACCTAAGACCATCTGCATATCAGATATTTAAATTACCATTCACAACAGTAGCAAAATTACAGTTGTGAAGTAGCAATACAAATCTATGGTCGGGGGTCACCACAACATGAGGGACTATAATCAGGGGTTACAGCATTAGGAAGGTTGAGAACCCTGTCCTATAGAACAAGGCTCGCTCTAATTCCCTGTCACTGTGGACTTCCAACTCTTGGAGGATCCTGTGTATGCAGTAGATGCTTATTCAGTGCTTGTCAGTGGTTGATATGACTTCTGTCTAAGTCTTGCTGATGCTTTTTCCAAACAGAGTCCACTCTGTGCAGACTATGGACTTTGGTCGTCCCCCTCCTTAATGGTATGTATGCCTTATCCATCAAGTAGGACTAGTCATGTGAGTATCTGCTTTCCCTTGGAATGCTTGCAAAATGGAAATTTTCCAACATAGTGTTAGTATTTCCTTATCTTTTGGCATGAATCCCAGGATGGGAAAGACCTGTGCTGGAAGCAAACTACTGGGCCATCAAGGTTAACCCTTTAGTCAGCAAATGAAAAAAGTCAATTCCCAGAGGCAACTTGGGCTGGGGATGCAGCTCAGTTGGTAGAGTTCTTGTCCATTATGAGGAAAACCCTGGGATCTATCCCCAGCACTGCACAAACCAGATATGGTCACACGGATTTGTAATGCCAGTACTCAGGAGGTAGATGCAGGATGGTCAGAAGTTCAGGGTTACCCTCAGCTATATAGTGGGTTTGAGGCCAGCCTCGGCTGCATGAGACCCCAGCTCAAAACAAACAAACAAACAAACAAAAAACAAACCAAACAGGTTACATTTTTAGCCACTAATCACTAACTATATTGGGGGGGGGAGGCTGGGGAGCTGGTTGGCTTGATCCAGCAACTTCTTTTTTAAATATTACTATTTTATGTGTACCTGTGTGTATGTCTGTATATGTGCCTGTACCTGAGGTTAGGGCCATCCCCTGGAGCTGGAGTTACAAGCAGTTGTAAGCTGCCTGATGTGGGTGCTGGGAATAAAACTCGAGTCCTCTGCAAGAACAATACATTCTCTTAACCACTGAGCTATCTTTTCAGCCCCATCTAGCAATTTCAGATTGGCTTCAGTTATGTGTTTGGCGAGACTCTTCCATGTCCTGGCTGTGACAACCCTCTGAAAGACACATGCTACTTGCTGTCCTTGTGTCTCTAGAGAAGACAGTGTCTAACTAACCTGCCCTCCAGAAGCCTTCAGAGGCAGGCTGTAGGTATACTTGCCCCTGGAGGCTAGCCTGCCGTAATCAGTCGGGGTGTATGCACTGCTGAATGTCCCACGAAACCAGAAGGGAGTTGCAGCGCATAGCTTGCCATTGAGTCCAAGCGTCCCTTCTTGTGGCTTCCGGTCTGCTGGTCTATGCTGTTCATTTGCTTCAGGATTACACTCAAAAGTTTCTGTCGGGGTTTAGATGTGAAGTGTCCCCCACAGGCTGGTGTGTGAACACTTGGCTCCCAAATAGTGCTGTTTAGAGAGGTTGTGGCACCACGAAGGGGTGGAGCCTCACGGGAAGAAGTGGATCACTGGGAGGTGGGCCTTGAGGGTTCTAACCTAGCCCACTCTGGTTCCAGTCTTCTTCCCGATCAGTTGAATGTGAACAAACAGTGAGCAGCTCTCCGCATGCCCTCCCTGCCATGACATGTTATACTCTTAAAGTGTGAGCCCAGATAAATCCATTAGGTCACTTTGGCCAAGCATTTTATCACAGTGACAAGTAACAGCTGCAATGCTGCCACGTCATTGGGGACAATGAATAGTGACATAAACATGGGGTTTATTTTCTCACAGGACAGGAAGCCCAGTGTTGGTCACTTATGTCAAGGACAGTGTTCCCAAGTCTTCGGGTCTTTTCTCTAATACCAGTATGGCTGCCATAGCTCCAGGCATCACACTGTGCAGTCAATGCAGGACCAGGAGGCAAAGATGTAATACCTCCTTATAGAGCTAAAAAACAAACCCATTTGCCTTCTCCTGAGAGGCCCTCTAAGAGATTTCTGCTTAAATCTCGTTTGTCAACTGATGGCTAGTGTCACCTGACAACTGGAGAGAATCTAAAACCACCTGGAGACAGGCCTCTGAACATGCCTGTAGGGGATTGTCTCTATTATATATTAATTGATGTGGAAGAGCCTTCTTGACTAGACAGGACCATTCCCTGGGTAGGGATCCCGGACTGTATACCGTGGAGGAAGCCAGCTGCACAGCATCTTTCTGCTCCTGACTGTGCTCTTTCTGCTTCTGGACTGTGGGTGTGATATGCCCAGCTGCCTCACACCCCAGCTGCCTTGGCTTCCCCGCCATGTAGACTGTAACTTTGACCTCAGAACCAGAATAAAGCCTTCCCCCCTTAGGTTGCTATCGGGGTAATTTATTACAGCAACAGGAACACACACACACACACACACACACACACACACGCACGCACGCACGCACGCACGCACGCACGCACGTGCGCACATACTACAAACCAACAACAAAACCCTAAAACACAGACATTGTATGGACGGCCACCACAGCTGAGGTGGCCTGAGTGGCTCGCCCAGGGGACCCAAGAGAAGCACGAGCTGAAGGCGACAGAGGCATGCTCACCAAGTCCTGCCTGGAAAGGACACCAAGAAGTCAAAGGACAAGCAGAGTCCTCTCGGGACTTCAGCCCACCTGGAGAGGCAGAATAACTGACCATTCTGTGGGGATCTCTTGCCAATGCCCTGTGGCAGGGCTGCAGGTGAGGTGAGGCAGACAGTCCCCCAAGTCTCGTAGTGAATCAGGAAAGCACTGGACCCAGCACAGGGGGCCCTGGCTTCTTCTGAGGATGTTAGTTCCCCATGAGGGAGCATAAGTAAATGCATTCATGAAGTAAGGGTCCCCTGGCTTCCGAGCCTTGATGTCCACATCATCCCCTCACACTACAAAAGATCTAATGTGTGCTGTAGAGGGTGGCGTATACCTGTGTATGAGAGAGAGAGACACAGCACACACACACACACACACACACACACACACACACACACACACACACACACACACCACACACAAGCAAACCCCACAAGTTTACGTGTAGTACCTGTTGAGAAAACCCAAACTGACTATGGGTGCTCCTAGATGAACTTTGTCACAACAAGCCATCCTTGAATTCATACACTAAACTGAAAATGGCCCAGTACACTGAATCTGCTAGACTGCTGGGCAAGCACAGCACATGGGTTTCTCTCCCTTGTCCCTGTCCAGCACCACCAGAGAGGATCTTCCTATGGTGTAGCGCTCACCTGGGAGAAAGTCAAGTGTAAGACTACAAAAACAGGCCGGGCGTTGGTGGCGCACGCCTTTAATCCCAGCACTTGGGAGGCAGAGGCAGGCGGATCTCTGTGAGTTCGAGGCCAGCCTGGGCTACCAAGTGAGCTCCAGGAAAGGCGCAAAGCTACACAGAGAAACCCTGTCTCAAAAAACCAAAAAAAAAAAAAAAAAAAAAAAAAAAAGACTACAAAAACAGCTTCCATGAAGTGGGGCTTGCTCTCACACCATCTCGAAGTGGAAGTTACATAAGTCGGGGACCAGGTGCACACAGCATGCAGTGTGCTGGGAAATTGGGGACCAGGTGCATACAGCATGCAGTGTGCTGGGACGCACACACAGTGGCTGACAAGAGACAGAGCTCTGGATGAGTCTTGTGGGTAGACAAGGACTTGCATGTTTAGTGTTGGTTTTATTCAGTCTTATGGGTGTGTTACAACACAAAGTGACTCATTCTCTATTACTCTCTTCTGGGTAGTTCGTAGGTGTCAAGGTTGGCTGGAGGGAATCTTCAGCTCCCAGTAGCCAGATACTACAGGGCAGTCCTGGCCCCTCTGGCCTCTACTTAGAATCCTGGTCCTGAACGTGCCATATAGCTCCAGGGAAGGTATGATTCTGGGTCATTTTTAAGAGGAACTAATGGAGAAAAGTTCCTCCCAGCATCCACAGATACAGGGGAAGTGAGTAGTTTTGATTGGCTGAGGGCATTCCTGATGTCCAGATGAAAACCTCTTTGCATTTATATACATCTGCACCCAGTGAAGACACCTATTCAGTGTGTGTGTGTGTGTGTGTGTGTGTGTGTGTGTGTGTGTGTGTGTATGCCTTCTGTCTTCTGGAGGCTAGAAGTCAACCTCAGGAATGATTCCTCAGGCACCTTCCAGACTTTTCTGTTGTAGTTGAGACAGGGTGCTAGGATTACAAGTGTAGGCCATTATACCCAGCATATGTTATTTATCTATTTATTTATTTTAACGTGGTTATGGGGCTCAAACTCAGGTTCTGGTGTATTGAAGGGCAGCACTTTATGGACAGTCACCCCCTGAGCCCCAGTCTTTCTAAGGCCCAAGAGTCTGGAACTTTCACAAGATGCTGAAGGACCATGGGAATTTAAAGAATGGACATGAGCGTCTGTGTTCAGCCCGGTACAAGCCATGGTCCCCAGTGCCTCACCCCCCTGGGTTTATGTAGGGACAGGCCTGCCAGCACATGGACTGTTTGTTGCAAAGAGCCTAGACTCCAGGAGCCAGCTGCTAGCCACAGAGCCCACAGCCCACAATCCCAGGATCCAGGGAACCAGTGACTTCCTCCCCCACCCCCCCACCCCACAGCAGCACCAGCCTCCCTGACCTCCTGGCCACTGTTTCCCAGCAGCCTTTTGTTTATTTGGACAACGTCTGGGGTCTCCTAGAGAAAAAGGCTCAGCTGAGTTCCAGGAAGTGAGCCCGCACTGCCTGCTTTTGGAAGGCTCCCAGCTGTCCCTCGGTGGCTCCTTTGGGCCAAAGCAGCTCAGTCTCAAGCTAGTGCAGGGCCTGCTCCAGCCCTAGTGTGCACTGAGTACCCACCCCCTCATTCGCCCTGCTCTGCCACAGTGCAGAAATCTGTGCCCAACACTAGACGCTTGATGTTTCTGCTGACCTGCTCAAGCCACGGGGCCGTCTGGTGTTACGAAACACAGCACAGCATCATGACCAACAGCCGGCATTTTTCTTGGATGCTCTTTTCACTCCAGGTTAAACTGTGGTCTTAAAAAATTAAAAATAAGTAATAAAAATTGTATTTGTTCTTAGGCAGGGGGCATGTGCCACCACACACATGGAGGTCAGAGGAGTCAGGTCTGTGGAGTCAGGTCTTCTTCCACATTTATGTGGGCTTCAGGGATCAAACTTGGGTCACAAGACTTGAATGGTAAGCACCCTTACCCACTGAGCTCCGTCATTGGATCTTCTCCGTTCTTAAGAAACAGCCTCCAACCAGGTAGTGGTGGTGCACGCCTTTAATCCGAGCAGTGAGT